CAGGGCAGCGGGGGGCAGTGAGGTGGGGACAGCACTGCAGCACCTCGGGACCCCCGCTTGGGACACGAGTGCACACAGGCTGCGCTGGCCATTGGATGGTGTTGCCACTGTGCAGCTGGCGCGGAGCGATCCCTGCCTCCAGACGGAGTTCGGCCTGTCCACCAGGCCCTTGTGCTGCAGGGGTGGGGTTGGGGTAGCTATGTTGTCGGTGACTGTTGGCTGCGGCGGGGAGCAGAGCAGCCCTGGCAAGCCCAGGAGCCTGCCGTCCTGCATCCGCAATGCACCGGCCATGTCCCCTTGCCGCAGTACCAGAGAGCGGTGACCCTGGAGACCTTTTCAGTCGTTGTGGCTCAGCTGCTGGGGCTGAGCCTAGGAATGACCCTTGAGGACCCCAGGACCTGTCGCTGTGCGGGAGCCACCTGCCTCATGCACCCCAGCGCAGTGTAAGGATGCGCCTCACTGGGCCGGGGTCCTGTGGGTGGGCCTGTATGTAACCCGCGTAGGTGTGAGTGTCCCTGTAGGTGTAGTCTTGTGCCCCCTTGTCCTGGGTTGGACTCCTGCCCTGTTTGTTCCTGACCCAAAACATGCGCTGCCCTGGTGCCTGGCCACTGCCAGGTCAGAGCACGGCTCTGATGTCATCAGCGACAGCCCCGCTGACCAAGCTCACGTGTCTCCAGCATCAGCACGCGGGGTCTCTGCAGCAGAGCAGAGGATTGCTCGCCTGAGGGAGCGGCCCTGCTCTCTTGCCCCAGAGGCGCTCTCTTGAAGCCCAGGGCTGCCTGGGAGCGTGACGCAGAGAAGATGGCCCTGCTGCCGTGTCCCCTGCACATGGGGTGCACTGCACCTGGGGTGCCCATCAGTCTGGCTCTGGTGCCGTGTGGTGGGCAGACCGTTCACGTGAAAGCCACAGGATCAGGAGAGCGTAGTTGTTATGGGCAGTGCCACCTGTGAGCATTTTGGGGGTCTAATGCCAGCTGTCTGCCCTGTCTGTCAGAGGTGCCCACGGCCCCAAGGCCTTCAGCGCCTGCAGCATCCGAGACTTGGCGAGGTTCCTGGCGACCGAGGATGGACGCTGCCTTCTGAACAGGCCGCACATGAACGTGTCGTACCGGGCGCCCATCTGTGGCAACAATGTTGTGGAGCCCGGGGAGGAGTGCGACTGTGGCTCCTCATGGGTGAGCGGGCAGCCCCAGGCACAGAATGGGGATAAAACTGGAGAAAAGCGGGGTTGCAATGGGACCTCAGGAGGTCATCGGAGCGGGTCAGAATGGCACGTGGGCGGTTTGGCCAGGATGCTGCTGCCGGTTGCGGGCAGAGGGACTAGAGCCGTCCTGAGGCTGAAGGTCTGAAGGAAGGCCCCAGGGCAGCGCTCTCTCACCCTCTCTCTGGACTCGGCCCAGCACCACAGGGCACCAGGCGTTTTGGGAAGTGGCGGGAGAGGCGGCTGTGACTGGAGGGGAGGTGTCGCCCCCCGCTTGCCTGCCGATGCCTGTGGGAAGAAGCCAGACCAAGAGCTAATAGTGGGGACAAGCAAGCGGGGCTCAGGTCTCTCCTCAGCGGCAGCAGACTCTGCTGCCTTGTCAGGGGATGATGCGTCCCAGAAGGCCTGGGCTCTATTCCACAATGCATCGCCTGTGCCAGCCGCTTCCTGCAGCCCTGCCTGCTGGCTGACCTTCGGGCGGCCCTTTCCCCAGGCAGCCCTGCGGGATGTGCCCTACTGTCCTCAGGTTCCTTCTGGCCACGCCAGTGTATGACTGTGCCAACGGGGGTGGGATTTGACCCTGGTGTACAAGACATCATGGACGAAACGTGCTCCCCACATCTCTGTGAAAGGCGTGAGGGTGTCAGGCAGGAGAGGGCAGGGGCATGAATGGCTGGTGTCCCTGCTATCCTACCAGAGGCTCCAAGTGGCCGAGCCTGCACCTGTGCGATATGGCGCTTTCCGTTCTGCGATGGCCAGCGCAGTTCTTGTGGCTGCCCGCAACCGTTCTTTCTAGCGTTGGAAACTCAGTCAGGCCTCTGCCGTTGGCTTTCAGGAGTGCCAGAGGAGCCGGTGCTGCCAGCCCACCTGCAGATTCAAAAGCAACATCAAATGTTCCACTGGGCTCTGCTGCTCCGACTGCCAGGTAAGCAGGGTGCTCTGGGCGGTCATGGCCCACGGCTGTCTCGACTGCAATCTCTGTGCCACACGTGCTTTGCGGTTCAGACGCCCGTGGTCTGTTGTGGCATATGGCAGTGGGGCACTGTCAGTTTTTCCTGCTCTGCCGCCATGTGGTGGAAAGCAGAGCCTGCAGCATGTGCGTGCGCAGGCCTGCAAGCCATGCAAAGCCTTGTTGTCGACGCCATGAGAACGCGGCCAAGTCGCAGGGAGTTTTTGTTGCCCCGGGGTGGCGCGGAGGGAAGGTGCATTGCAGGGGTTTAAACGGGCCTGGGGACATAGAGGGCAAGAAGCAGAGCCGATACGAAACTCCGCCCGGGTTTTGTACGCTAACCAGCGGGAGCTGTCCTAACTGTGGCGCAGTTGTACGGGGAGCCGACCAGTTTTCCAGCGTCCTTGCTCCCTGCCAGCCACACCACCGCCAGATCTCCAGCCCTCAGGCACTTGTGCGGGTGAAGTCCCTGACCCTGTGCTGTGACTTCTCTCCGCCAGTTCCTGCGCAATGGTACGTTATGTCGAAGCACTGTGGACGGCGAGTGCGATCTCCAGGAGTACTGCAATGGATCCTCTGCGGCCTGCCCGCCTGACTTCTGGGTCATGGATGGGCACCCGTGCAAGCAGCAGTCTGGCTACTGTTACAAAAGCAAGTGCCAGCTGGCTGACAAGCAGTGCACCCAAGTGTTTGGGAGAGGTAAGAGAGACCGACGTGCGACAGGATTGGGCTCTGATGGCTTTTTAGCGGGACGCCCCAAATCCGGTCAGGTCCCTGTCGTGTGATGGCCCAGGTGCGTACGAGTCCCAGGGCACGGGGGTCTCGACACCGGGCTGGGCTTCCTTGAGTTTGACAAATTATGCGTGCAGGCCAGCCATGCTCACCTGCCTTGGCGCTAGCCAGTGTGGTCCCCTGGCAAGGGACCGGTCTTTGTAGAGTAGTGGCGGTGTCTTGTATTGGTAGCCGGCTGCTGTTTCTCACACACCGGTGCCTAATCGCACAAGCTACGTCGCTGCTGCCAGGAGCCTGGATGCGGTGCAGAGAGTAGGTCAGCGGAAAAGGTGGAACTGCAGCGTGGGGCTTGCCAGCTCCCTGCAGTCTGCACAGGCCCTGGGTCCCGCAGGCGCTGGAGCCTGGGGAGCTGGGCAGGCAGTGGCAGTGGTGGTATTTTGGCAAGAGGAGGTAGCCCAGTACTACACTGTTGGCTTTCACAGCCCGTTTGTGAAGGTGTCTGGGTGGGAGCAGTCTTAGGCTGGGACGGGTCCCTGGCAGCATCTGGGGCCAGGGCAGGGAGAAGATTGCACGCCAACTCGTGTCCGCTGCAACCGAAGGGCCTTGAAGAGAGCTGGCTCAAGCGTTGGCAGGAAGGGTCAGATAAGGGCACTGGGTTGGGACAGACGACGTGTGCCTGTAAGCACTTGCCGTTTCCAGTTTCCGTGTGTCTCTGGCAAGTGGCGCTCCCGTCTCTGTGTTTGCAGGGGCAAAAAGCGCGCCCTTGGCTTGCTACGAAGAAGTCAATAGCAAAAATGACCGCATGGGGAACTGTGGCTCCCAGCCGACGGGGTACCTGAGCTGTCCGGTGAGGTACGAGTAGCTGGACTGGGAATGGCCTCTTGCGGAGTGCAAGCGGGGCTGTGTGCCAGACAGAAAAGTGGCTGCCCGGGCTATTTACCTGGGTGTTGGCCCCTGCATGGCTTCAGGGGTGGGCTGGCGGGAAGCTGCCCGTTGCAGCGCGGTGGCAAAGGGCCAGGGTGAGGAACCTCCCACTGCCCGGTGGCCTTCGGCCTGTTGTTACCAGCCTGGCGTTGCTGGGCACTGAGACTGGGGTTTGCAGTCTCAGGTGGGGCTGTGCTCTGACAGCAGGGTTGCTATGTCCACGTGCTGTGGAAATCCCTGGGCAGTCTCAGTGCTCCCCGCCTTCCTGGTGTTCTGCTGCTGGGGAAAGTGATTAGGAGATGAGACATGTGCAGTTAGTCCCCTCCTCTCCCGTGGCCACGTAAACCGGAGCGAGCACGGCTTTCGTTCTGCCGGTTATTTTGTTGGCAGTGCTCTGCTGGCAAGGAATGCCGCGAAGCTCTCCTTAGGCTCCCAAACGTGCTTTGTGGCGCCTCGAGGGCAGCCGCTTCTTGGCTTAGTAGAAATGGCATCCCAAGTGGGTAGTGCGTGGGGCAGGGAAGGTAAGCTGAGAGCTGTGGCAGTGTTGACAAGCTGTCCCTTACCTCCCACGGTGAGAGGGAACAAAAAGCATGAAATGAAAAGCAGCTGTGCTGGTGCATGATCCGCCCCCAAAGAACAGTGCTGGTGGAAGCAGCCCGTGTTGGACAGACGCCCAATTCCAAGGGGCGAGCTTGGAGCATGCTGAGGTGGCTAAGGCAGGCAGGCTTGGTGGAAGCCCAGCTGTCAACCCCATGTAGCAACAACCCCTCCTCCCCAGTCTGGTGACTCAGAAGTCCCGGGGTGGGGAGCCACCAGCTGCCAGCTGGCCGAGAAGCATAGCACAGGTCTCCTTTGGGGTCTTCTGCAGCAGCAGGGAGCTGAGGGGAAGGGCTAGGGCTAGGGCAATCCTGCATTTCTGGCTGGGATCCTCTGGCCTGGAGCAGCTACCCTCTAGGAGGGTCTGGCAGGGAGAGCTGCTATCCTTCCCTGATCCTCTCGCCCCCCACCTCGGGGCGTGGGCTGCTCGGAGCCTTGCAGAACTGGACTGTCTGCTACAGCTGCGGTTCCCCAGGAAGTTGGGATGCGCCCGGCCTGGGGATGTACCTGCATGGCACCAGGGGTGCAGCGGAGGGCAGGGAAGACACGGCAGGGGGGGCGCCCCATGCAGGGCTTGGCAACTGGAAAAGGCAGTGTGCTTGGACTGCAAGGACAGTGACCGGGGGGATGGGGGGGGTGGAAAGCCTCACAGTCACCATCCTTTGATGCCTTGGCAGTGACTTCCTCTGCGGGAAGCTGGTGTGTGAGCTGCCGCTAAAGAAGCCCTTTGTGAAGACAACAGCAGCCGTCATCTACGCCAGGGCTAAGAGTCACCTGTGCGTCACCCTGGACTACATGCAGGACCTGGGCAAGACGGACCCCATGGCGGTGAGCGACGGCACTGTCTGCGGGGACAAGAAGGTAAGCAAAGGCTCGCGGCAGTGTAGCGGTGGCCATGTGCGCCAGG